TCTAGTATATAGACTAGTCAATAGTCTTGTCTACAGACTAGTCAATAGTTTAGTCTATAGACTAGTCAATAGTTCAGTATATAGACTAGTCAATAGTCTAGTCTATAGGCTAGTCTATAGACTAGTCAATAGTCTAGTCTATAGGCTAGTCTATAGACTAGTCAATAGTCTAGTCAATAGTCTAGTCTATAGACTAGTCAATAGTCTAGTCAATAGTCTAGTCTATAGACTAGTCAATAGTCTAGTCTATAGACTAGTCAATAGTCCAGTCTATAGACTAGTCAATAGCCCAGTCCATAGACTAGTCAATGGTCTGGTCAATAGACTAGTCAATGGTCTGGTCAATAGACTAGTCAATAGTCTAGTCTATAGACTAGTCAATATTCAAGTCAATAGTCGATTCTATAGTCTAGTCAATAGTCGATTCTATAGACTCGTCAATAGTCTAGTCTATAGTCTAGTCAATAGTCTAGTCAATAGACGAGTCTATAGACTAGTCAATAGTCTAGTCTATAGACTAGTCAATAGTCTAGTCTATGGACTAGTCAATAGTCCAGTCCATAGACTAGTCAATGGTCTGGTCAATAGACTAGTCAATGGTCTGGTCAATAGACTAGTCAATGGTCTGGTCAATAGACTAGTCAATATTCAAGTCAATAGTCGATTCTATAGTCTAGTCAATAATCTATTCTATAGACTAGTCAATAGTCTAGTCTATAGTCTAGTCAATAGTCTAGTCTATAGAGTAGTCAATAGTCGAGTCTATAAACTAGTCGAAAGTCTAGTCTACAGACTAGTCAATAGTCTAGTCTATAGACTAGTCAATAGTCTAGTCTATAGACAAGTCAATAGTCTAATCTATAGATTAGTCAATAGTCTAATCTATAGACTAGGCAATAGTCCAATCTATAGTCTAGCCTATAGACTAGGCAATAGTCCAATCTATAGCCTAGCCTATAGACTAGGCAATAGTCCAATCTATAGTCAACAATCTTGTGCATAGAGTAGTCAATAGTGTAGTTTATAGACTAGTCTAGAGACCAGTCAATAGTTAAGTTCTTAAACTATTCTATGGTGTGGTCTACAATCTACTCCATAAAGTAATAAATAGACTAAGATGTTTCAGATATGAAAATCGTTAATTGTATTGTAAAAATATTATCTGGACACCACAAATTTCAAATAATTTTAACATATTTTTTAAACAAGTGATGCTAATTGGACAAGTTATTTGACAGTGATATATCCATATAAAAACTATTTTTATGTTTAAATTTATGTCTCCAAATAATCACACTTCATCATCTACAACATTCAATAAAAAAAACAAAAATCATCTTAACAAATTTTACTTTTTCATTACATAAATAAGTACTTCGTAATATTTACTAACGAAGTATTCAAAATAATTATGCAAAAACGTTGATATTTAAACAATTCGATAGTAACAAGTATTTAAAATAATTTTGTACAAATTTCCCAACATTAGACAATAGTCCGTATTACTGCATATTTTCCTTCTTAAAGCTATTTGGCAAAAAAAATCTTAATATCAAAATTGCCATTCATAAAGAAACGACATTTAATGTATGACTAGCTGTCTCTACGTCCGTCCTTCTGACTGTTTGTCTGTACATACGTGCGAATAGTGAACAAGTACAAATGGTTTGACTACAATTTGTTGGGTAATACAACTAAACTCCTATACTTACACCTAACGTACATACATATGTACATATATTGTTGATATGGTTGTGTGTTTGTTATTGATACTGAAAAATATTTAATTGCCATATGTGAACGAACACCTGCCTTCTTAATAGTGACTCCACCATATACATTCAAATACTTACATGACTACTATTTAATGATTAGGCACAATGTAATTTAATGTGATCGTATCAAATTTAAACAAAAAAACTTAAAATTTCAAAGAAGAAAGACATAAAAATAAGAATGATTGTCTATAATGATTCCCTACTATTTTCAACATTAACTTATCTAAATCCATTTATATAATTAGATCTTGAACTGGATGATCGAAGAATACTATTACTTTACTCTGTTTCACAAGAAATCCAAAACAGGGTCGCAGTACTTAGGGCCCTGTCTAATCTAATCACTTTACTCTAATTTAAATATCTTCCAGTGTTATTGTTATGATCATTAGTATAGTGATGTTACTCAATTATATGTATACTGGTTATCTACGGTTAATACATCAATTATTGGTCTTAAAGAAAAGTTTTTGTTTATTTTCAAATCTTTCAAATATTATTTCTAAAGGAAATACCTAAAAGGATCAATTATAAACCGATCTTTATAAAGTTTGTTATTAATGCTTATACTATAAGTACATTGTTAACGTTAAAGAAATGTAATGAAGAATATTTTATGGGGCCTAGGATCAAATAAGTAGCGACTTTCTTAAAACTTTGAAGTATGATTTAAACTAAATAACTGACTATTTTAATTGTTAAAATAAAAACAGAAATTTGATATGATCTATGGGCTAGTCGGTTATCTATTCTAATAACTAGTATATGGTCAAGTCTATGGACTAGTCAATAGAATTATCTTTAGAATAGTTCATGTACCGCTACATTTATAAGTCTTTGGACAAGTCTATTGACTAGGATATGAACCAGACTTTGAAGAACATAGTTAGTTAGTTAGTGAGTTAGTTAGTTAGTTAGTTAGTTAGTTAGTTAGTTAGTAGTTAGTAGTTAGTTAGTTAGTTAGTTAGTTAGTTAGTAGTTAGTTAGTTAGTAGTTAGTTAGTTAGTTAGTTAGTTAGTTAGTTAGTTAGTTAGTAGTTAGTTAGTTAGTTAGTAGTTAGTTAGTTAGTTAGTTAGTTAGTTAGTTAGTTAGTTAGTTAGTAGTTAGTTAGTTAGTTAGTTAGTTAGTTAGTAGTTAGTTAGTAGTTAGTTAGTTAGTTAGTTAGTTAGTTAGTTAGTTAGTTAGTTAGTTAGTTAGTTAGTTAGTTAGTTAGTTAGTTAGTTAGTAGTTAGTTAGTTAGTTAGTTAGTTAGTTAGTTAGTTAGTTAGTTAGTTAGTTAGTTAGTTAGTTAGTTAGTTAGTTAGTTAGTTAGTTAGTTAGTTAGTTAGTTAGTTAGTTAGTTAGTTAGTTAGTAGTTAGTTAGTTAGTTAGTTAGTTAGTTAGTTAGTTAGTTAGTTAGTTAGTTAGTTAGTTAGTTAGTTAGTTAGTTAGTTAGTTAGTAGTTAGTTAGTTAGTTAGTTAGTTAGTTAGTTAGTTAGTTAGTTAGTAGTTAGTTAGTTAGTTAGTTAGTTAGTTAGTTAGTTAGTTAGTTAGTTAGTTAGTTAGTTAGTTAGTTAGTTAGTTAGTTAGTTAGTTAGTTAGTTAGTTAGTTAGTAGTTAGTTAGTTAGTTAGTTAGTTAGTTAGTTAGTTAGTTAGTTAGTTAGTTAGTTAGTTAGTTAGTTAGTTAGTTAGTTAGTTAGTTAGTTAGTTAGTTAGTTAGTTAGTTAGTTAGTTAGTTAGTTAGTTAGTTAGTTAGTTAGTTAGTTAGTTAGTTAGTTAGTTAGTTAGTTAGTTAGTTAGTTAGTTAGTTAGTTAGTTAGTTAGTTAGTTAGTTAGTTAGTTAGTTAGTTAGTTAGTTAGTTAGTTAGTTAGTTAGTTAGTTAGTTAGTTAGTTAGTTAGTTAGTTAGTTAGTTAGTTAGTTAGTTAGTTAGTTAGTTAGTTAGTTAGTTAGTTAGTTAGTTAGTTTGAAAGGAGGATGTATGTCACATCAAGTCCGAAGAAACACACCTACGCCTCTATCGGCCCTGTTGTGCGCTCCTTAACCAGTGCCTCAGGTGGGAATCAAACTCACCGCCTCTGGTCTATCAGAGTAGAACGCTAACAACTAACCTACCGGAGGAATTCCACTATTGACTTGTCTACAGTGTAGTCTTTAGACTAATCTATTGGACAGGTCCATTGGTTAGTTGCTATACTACTTCAACAACTATATAATACAGATAAAATACTTAATATATGTACGTTGTAGCCCTATATTGGGATGTTCAAAAGTACCAGAGAAAGAGGTTAAATCGGTTAAGAGTTTCTACAAAATGCGGGCCGTACAAAAATTACAAACATTATATTAAGGGATGATGGGCTTATCAGTCCACCTAATACTATGCCAATGTTCTATTTATTTCAATTCATCTACGAAGTACTTTCTTTCCTCACCTTGATGGATAGTTTATGTTGTGGACAAAATCGGAAATTGATTGGAGACTTAATACATTAAGACTAGCAGTGTATATCTAGTGTATATAGCTTTAAATTCGAAATCCTCTTTTTTAGAAAAATGTTAAAGTGAATTTTCTTAATCGTGTTTCTGGTTTCTCCTAAATTCCTATAACAGATCACTCAAAATTTTCTTTCTCTAGGATCTCTATTGTACTAAAATCACAACATGGATTCAGAATTACAATTACAATTTTATATTTTACCATAAAAAATTTAAATTAAGGAACTGCAACTGAACACATTGCAAAATTACATATTCATGTGTCAGTTATATTTTAAATGACTGTTGTCATTTATACTGCTACTGTTGTCATTTATTGGTTTTGTACAATTGTTTGACAGCTATTAAAAGCGATCAACATTTTTATTAGTTTTTTTTTTCTTCTAAATAACGAAAATGAAACAATATGGGTTTCAAGTAATGACAAATTTTTTGCCATTAAGTAAAAAAATAAACAATTGACAAAAAGAATGGAAATTAAATGCAAAAAGCTGGGCAATTTTGTTAGCTACAGAAATCCAAATCCAAAATTTATTAATATAGTGTAAGAAGTTTATAGGTTTAGACAAAATTTACATAAGTCATATGTGGTTAAATTGAAAAGTAGGGTACACTTAGCTTACAAATTTATTACAATTAAATTTTATTTTAAAAATAAATCTTTAAAATACTTATTTTTTTATTATTTTTATTTATAATAAATTTTATAAAATTTTGTTTGTTTACCATTCTTAATACTTGCAGTTGGTCTACCCATATTAAGTTTCAATTTATGGGGTGAATCGTATAAACGTGGCTTCTTCTGCAACGATGATTCGCTAATGCATCCATATCACGAATCGACCGTGGCTAGTTGGATGTTGTATTTGATGTGTTTTTTAATACCCATTTCCATGGTGAGTAGAGACAAGATTTCTGAATTTTTCTAAATTTAATATCAATTCAATTTAATGTACCATTAAATGTTTTGAATGTCGTTTTAATTTGTTTTTACAAGGCAACAAGAAACTCAAAAGTTTAAAAAACGAATTCAAATTAAAGATGAAAATTGTTTATTTAACTGCTGCTGTTATTTACAATTATTGTTTGTAGTTATTGTTGTTGTTTTAATGTTGTCAGAACTGTCTGTGTATGCTGTTGTTCTTATTGTTGCTCATATTTACAGACAACAAATAGTCGGCGAGAAGCTTAAAACCCCCAAACAAAAAATTAAGAAAATCTTTTTTTACATCATTTAATTGTTTATGTTTTTCAATGGATTTTTAAACGAATAAAATGTATGTTCTTAATTAAACACAATTTGTCTTTGCTAGTAGTTCAATGGCATAGAGAATAGCGAGTGATCTTAAGTGTAGAGCAAAAGAAATTTCAGATATGTTGTAAAGTCCATAGAGTATACCATTGATTAAATTATAGACTTGACTATAGCCTAGACTATAGCCTAGACAATAGCATAGACTAATAGACTAGACTATAGACTAGACTATAGACTAGACTATAGGACTAGACTACAGACTAGACTATAGACTAGACTATAGACTAGACTATAGACTAGACTAGACTATAGACTAGACTATAGACTAGACTATAGACTAGACTATAGACTAGACTATAGACTAGACTATAGACTAGACTATAGACTAGACTATAGACTAGACTATATACTAGACTATAGACTAGACTATAGACTAGACTATAGGACTAGGCACTATAGACTAGACTATAGACTAGACTATAGACTAGACTATAGACTAGACTATAGACTAGACTATAGACTAGACTATAGACTAGACTATAGACTAGACTATAGACTAGACTATAGACTAGACTATAGACTAGACTATAGACTAGACTATAGACTAGACTATAGACTAGACTACTAGACTATGACTAGACTATAGACTAGACTATAGACTAGACTATAGACTAGACTATAGACTAGACTATAGACTAGACTATAGACTAGACTATAGACTAGACTATAGACTAGACTATAGACTAGACTATAGACTAGACTATAGACTAGACTATAGACTAGACTATAGACTAGATAGACTAGACTATAGACTAGACTATAGACTAGACTATAGACTAGACTATAGACTAGACTATAGACTAGACTATAGACTAGACTATAGACTAGACTATAGACTAGACTATAGACTAGACTATAGACTAGACTATAGACTAGACTATAGACTAGACTATAGACTAGACTATAGACTAGACTATAGACTAGACTATAGACTAGACTATAGACTAGACTATAGACTAGACTATAGACTAGACTATAGACTAGACTATAGACTAGACTATAGACTAGACTATAGACTAGACTATAGACTAGACTATAGACTAGACTATAGACTAGACTATAGACTAGACTATAGACTAGACTATAGACTAGACTATAGACTAGACTATAGACTAGACTATAGACTAGACTATAGACTAGACTATAGACTAGACTATAGACTAGACTATAGACTAGACTATAGACTAGACTATAGACTAGACTAGACGACTAGAGACTATAGACTAGACTATAGACTAGACTATAGACTAGACTATAGACTAGACTATAGACTAGACTATAGACTAGACTATAGACTAGACTATAGACTAGACTATAGACTAGACTATAGACTAGACTATAGACTAGACTATAGACTAGACTATAGACTAGACTATAGACTAGACTATAGACTAGACTATAGACTAGACTATAGACTAGACTATAGACTAGACTATAGACTAGACTATAGACTAGACTATAGACTAGACTATAGACTAGACTATAGACTAGACTATAGACTAGACTATAGACTAGACTATAGACTAGACTATAGACTAGACTATAGACTAGACTATAGACTAGACTATAGACTAGACTATAGACTAGACTATAGACTAGACTATAGACTAGACTATAGACTAGACTATAGACTAGACTATAGACTAGACTATAGACTAGACTATAGACTAGACTATAGACTAGACTATAGACTAGACTATAGACTAGACTATAGACTAGACTATAGACTAGACTATAGACTAGACTATAGACTAGACTATAGACTAGACTATAGACTAGACTATAGACTAGACTATAGACTAGACTATAGACTAGACTATAGACTAGACTATAGACTAGACTATAGACTAGACTATAGACTAGACTATAGACTAGACTCTAGAGACTAGACTATAGACTAGACTATAGACTAGACTATAGACTAGACTATAGACTAGACTATAGACTAGACTATAGACTAGACTATAGACTAGACTATAGACTAGACTATAGACTAGACTATAGACCAGACTATAGACTAGACTATAGACTAGACTATAGACTAGATTATAGACTAGACTATAGACAAGACTATAGACTAGACTAGACTAGACTAGACTAGACTAGTCTAGACTAGACTAGTCTATAGACTAGACTAGACTATAGACTAGACTATTAATTCAAGAACTATAGACTAGACTATAGACTAGACTATAGACTAGACTATAGACTAGACCATAGACTAGACTATAAACTAGCCCATAGACTAGACTATAGACTAGACTATAGACTAGACTATAGACCAGACTATAGACTAGACTATAGACTAGACTATAGACTAGATTATAGACTAGACTATAGACAAGACTATAGACTAGACTAGTCTAGACTAGACTAGTCTATAGACTAGACTAGACTATAGACTAGACTATTAATTCAAGAACTAAAATTATCAGTTTGGCCAGGACCGATCTGCCAGAGAAGATTGGATATGCATGTTAAAGTTTATCTTATTCCTTTGAAGTGATTATTGTTCATGGAAAAACGGCGCCAGGTTTATTCTATCAAGATTGCTAACGTATGAATATTAATCTGTAGATATACATATTTTTTTAAGGTTTAACTTAATTTAATACTTAATGATCTACTAACATGACAAGTCATAAAGTAATGAAACATGTAGCATTACACTCACGTGCACATCTCTAATAATTTATACGGAAAAAAATTAAATAAATTTTATTTTTCTTTGTACGCAAGTACATACAAGTTATTTTGCACTAAAGTTATGTAAATGAATCTGCTGCACATTACAAAAGTGGAAATAAGATGCCTTCTGAAGTAACAAATATAAATAAAACTAAACTATTCAAATTGCAGATATAAAGATACATCTGACTCGTAGAACTTAAAGTTTCTGACGGCAACATATTTGTATTCTTTTTTATTTTTTTATTATATAGGAAATCATAATGTTAAATATTGTTTATCTGCATTAAAAGATTTAACATTAGAGCATCGTTGGCAGTATTATTTATGCTTGCTTTGATCTTAATCCAAACATAGATACAGATTCTAACTACACTGTATGGTAAATATGAATGTATATATGTTTACCACAAGTATCTGTAACTTTAGGCATTTTAACACAAAATATTACACCGTATTACAGCAACAATTCTGTTCTTGTGGTTGCATATTTGTTTGTTTTATTTAATTTTTTTATCTTAAAGAACTTGTTAAACTTTTTAACTCTTTACATAAACTAAAACCAACAATGACTGAAATGCCGGCAAATTGAATTTAATTATTTACAATAAAGATATTTTGAAGATTTGTTTAGAGATTAAAGTAGAAGTCTTTAAAGGCGGCTTTTTATAGTTTAGATTGTATATGTGTGGCAAAGAGTATTATAAAATAAGTAGTGACTTTGTGTATACAGTAGAGAAAAGAGATGTTAATTAGAATGCAGCATATGGTGAGCTACACTGCTATGTGTTGACTAACTATGTCATTACGTTTGCCTTCACTGCCGCCGCGCTGAATCCGAATCTATTCAGATTTTCTGCATCATATCTGGAATTTGAGTTAACTAACTAAGTTAGTTAGTTAGTTAGTTAGTTAGTTAGTTAGTTAGTAGTTAGTTAGTTAGTTAGTTAGTTTAGTTAGTAGTTAGTTAGTAGTTAGTTAGTTAGTTAGTTAGTTAGTTAGTTAGTAGTTAGTTAGTTAGTTAGTTAGTTAGTTAGTTAGTTAGTTAGTATTTAGTAGTTATTTAGTTAGTTAGTTAGTTAGTTAGTTAGTTAGTTAGTTAGTTAGTTAGTTAGTTAGTTAGTAGTTAGTTAGTTAGTTAGTTAGTTAGTTAGTTAGTTAGTTAGTTAGTTAGTTAGTTAGTTAGTAGTTAGTAGTTAGTTAGTTAGTTAGTAGTTAGTTAGTTAGTTAGTTAGTTAGTAGTTAGTTAGTTAGTTAGTTAGTAGTTAGTTAGTTAGTTGTTACTTAGTTAGATAGTTAGTTAGCTAGTAGTTAGTTAGTTAGCTAGTTAGTTAGTTAGTTAGTTAGTTAGTTAGTTAGTTAGTTAGTTAGTTAGTTAGTTAGTAGTAGTAGTTAGTTAGTTAGTTAGTTAGTTAGTTAGTTAGTTAGTTAGTTAGTTAGTTAGTTAGTTAGTTAGTTAGTTAGTAGTTAGTTAGTTAGTTAGTTAGTTAGTTAGTTAGTTAGTTAGTTAGTTAGTTAGTTAGTTAGTTAGTTAGTTAGTTAGTTAGTTAGTTAGTTAGTTAGTTAGTTAGTTAGTTAGTTAGTTAGTTAGTTAGTAGTTAGTTAGTTAGTAGTTAGTTAGTTAGTTAGTTAGTTAGTTAGTTAGTTAGTAGTTAGTTAGTTAGTTAGTTAGTTAGTTAGTTAGTTAGTTAGTTAGTTAGTTAGTTAGTTAGTTAGTTAGTTAGTTAGTTAGTTAGTTAGTTAGTTAGTTAGTTAGTTAGTAGTTAGTTAGTTAGTTAGTAGTTAGTTAGTAGTTAGTTAGTTAGTTAGTTAGTTAGTTAGTTAGTTAGTTAGTAGTTAGTAGTTAGTTAGTTAGTTAGTTAGTTAGTAGTTAGTAGTTAGTTAGTTAGTTAGTTAGTTAGTTAGTTAGTTAGTTAGTTAGTTAGTTAGTTAGTTAGTTAGTTAGTTAGTTAGTTAGTTAGTTAGTTAGTTAGTTAGTAGTTAGTTAGTTAGTTAGTTAGTTAGTTAGTTAGTTAGTTAGTTAGTTAGTTAGTTAGTTAGTTAGTTAGTTAGTTAGTTAGTTAGTTAGTTAGTTAGTAGTTAGTGTTAGTTAGTTAGTTAGTTAGTTAGTTAGTTAGTTAGTTAGTTAGTAGTTAGTTAGTTAGTTAGTTAGTTAGTTAGTTAGTTAGTTAGTAGTTAGTTAGTTAGTTAGTTAGTAGTTAGTTAGTTAGTTAGTTAGTAGTTAGTTAGTTAGTTAGTTAGTTAGTTAGTTAGTTAGTTAGTTAGTTAGTTAGTTAGTTAGTTAGTTAGTTAGTTAGTTAGTTAGTTAGTTAGTTAGTTAGTTAGTTAGTTAGTTAGTTAGTTAGTTAGTTAGTTAGTTAGTTAGTTAGTTAGTTAGTTAGTTAGTTAGTTAGTTAGTAGTTAGTTAGTAGTTAGTTAGTTAGTTAGTTAGTTAGTTAGTTAGTAGTTAGTTAGTTAGTAGTTAGTTAGTTAGTTAGTTAGTTAGTTAGTTAGTTAGTTAGTTAGTTAGTTAGTTAGTTAGTTAGTTAGTTAGTTAGTTAGTTAGTTAGTTAGTAGTTAGTTAGTTAGTTAGTTAGTTAGTTAGTAGTTAGTTAGTTAGTTAGTTAGTTAGTTAGTTAGTTAGTTAGTTAGTTAGTTAGTTAGTTAGTTAGTTAGTTAGTTAGTTAGTTAGTAGTAGTTAGTTAGTTAGTTAGTTAGTTAGTTAGTTAGTTAGTTAGTTAGTAGTGAGTTAGTTAGTTAGTTAGTTTGAAAGGAGGATCAGCCCCTATAAGTAAACCCAGGTCCCTATCGGCCCCCGTGTGAACTTCTTTACTAGTCTGAGGGGATATCGAACCCACCACCTCCGGACTGACGAAATAGAAAACTACCAACCAACCTTCCGAAGGCACCACAACAAAATAAGGATAGATAATTTGATAATCATATTCCCAGTAGCTGTTTGGGATCACACATCACTTTTCCAAAACAACAACAATTTCTAGACTGAATTTATTATGTGTGAAATTATATACAAATCGACATATATTTTACTTCATTTAATCAATATCTACATAATTAATAGGCAAGACGATTTTTTGTGACCCCTTTTTCTCTTACAGTATACATCTGATCTTGGCAAAAAATATATCATTTTAGAGGTATTTGTTCACAGATGTGCACAATATATATATTAATGAGATCGGTTCAGAATTTTAGAAGCTATAAGAGTTTAAAGTTGTTACTAATACATAGAAACAATAGTCACACGTACGTATTCTTGAAATTAAAAACAAACAAAGCAAGAAACAAAACAAAAAAAGTAAACAACACGGCTTTTTGAAAAAAGAGAGGAGAGTGCAGAAACGTTTAACTTCTCTGTTGCTGTTTTCTTTTTGTATTTTGCATGATATTTGTTTTTGTTGTTGTTTTTTAATAAGATTTTTGTAAACAAATAAGTATGTAAGCAGGCTTAGGCAATGCGAAAATAGGATTTTATTGTTTTATATTTTTGTGTAAAGTGCTAAATTGTGAATGAGATAATGATATATTTTGTTATAATATCCTTACGATTGTTACCAAATCGAAAGGAATATTTTTATAAGAAGTAGGACTTCAGTTTTATATTCAGAGTTTTCGAATGGAAGTTTTTCGTTATTTAAACTTTTCAAAATAGTTAAATTAAAGGACATTCCCGAGGAAACAAAGAACTGGGAATATAAAAACATGTGTAAATAATGCTTGGGGACACCTAAAGATATGCCGAACAATGTAATGATATTGGTGTTTGACCTGGAAAATTATTGGTAGAACATCAGTACCAGAATACAGTAATTTTTTTTTTTTTTCATTTTAAGTATTGATATCGTAAAGTAATGACAAATCAGTTACATTAACGAATTTTCAATTCCGTAACTTTTTTACGACCGTAGAATATTTTAAAGACAAATATCGGAAAAATATAAGAATGTCAAAAGTTATGTATTGAAATATTTTTAAAATATAAAATTATTAACGTGAACTTTTTATTTATTTTTTCGATTATGTTTAACGAAAAAAAAAAATCGGTGAAATGAAATTCAGAATACATACCACACAACGACAATTATTGTTAACTTAAGAATTTTTACTATTTAACGACAAAATGTTGTAGTTAAAAAAAATACTGAATTGCGATACATAATTATTAGTTTTGATTGATTTGGAAGATTTAAATGATGGATTAACGAATTGATTCAGTGTGAGTAAGAAATAAAATGCATATCGTTATGCGCTTCTATATGAAGGCTAATAAAAGGCCCATTAGAAGGCCTCATAGAATATCTACTATTTAATTTTATTAGAAGACATTAAAATTGAATAAATGTGTGTCTGCTGAAGTCTTCGTGCTGAAGTCGAGTGTTATAAGGGAGAATTTATACAGCATATATCTGATGGATGGACTACTAATGACATCCAAATAAAATTTATTTATAATTAGATAAGACATTATTTATTTTAAAATATTTTTATTGTTTTGACAAATTCTTTAGAACATTTCAATTCTGTATTTTGAACAGCTAACATTTTTTTACTGGTGTGTACACTGTACAGTAGAGTACTCCAGCAATGTGAACGATGCGTAAATATGTAGGGGATAATAAGTCGATAGAAGAAATGTTCGTTACTTTTTATTATTTTTAAAATAGTTGAAATACTTTTGTAAAACAAGTTGTATAACTAATTTTGACAATTGAGGTTTTAAACTTCTGATGGGACTTTTACTAAAACCCATCACATTTTCTAAAAGAAAACATTATTCAAAGCAAATTATACACTTTTATAATATCAATAAAGTTAATTTTTTACCACAGATTTGAACTACAAAAATAAGGTTTTATTTTAGCTTATTTATGCAATTTTTACAGCATTGGTTCTGGTTCTGGTCGAATATCGACCGCTGGGCGAACTCTAGTTTACTTAAATACATGAAACTAGTCTTACTACCTCGAACAAATTCTTGGTCGAATTTTCATTTCAACAAATTTTAAAGATGTTGTATAATCGGTGACTTTATACCAATGAATTCCATTCGGTTTTTGGGTATTCTCTGTTTTATGATAACGTCCATTAAGATTACTAAATAAAAAAACATAAATTTTAAAATATTTGATGTTATTTTTACTAACAAAATGCCTTGAAATACCTGAGATGACATTCATTATACCACCAGCCGCCTTCATATGACTTGGCACAATCTTCATAAGGATTTTGATCATTTTTACGATCTTTCGTAGAAAACCATTGATGCAAGTGATAATTTAAACTGTCACCAGCATCACCATGATATCTGCCTAAATTTTTCAGCTTATAGTATTCAGGTTCACCACCCACTATAAAGTGGCTATAGTTAGCATGGCGTTTAATTCCCTTAAATGTTTCCATTGTTATTAATAATTCATATGGAGTGCCACTGTCCGTAAGTTGATGTAAAGTTTCAAGACCTATGAAAAACTCTCCACTTTTGTTGCCGAAACCTTCTTTGTATTCATTCCAAGTGCGAAAGAAATCAACACTGCCATCCATACGTCTTTGTATGACAATCCAAGCACTGTCTTTGGCATCTACACAATTTTGTTCATTCGATGTTGTAGTTTCTTTAGTTTCATATTTTAATAATTGTAATTCCAATTTGTTTAAACGTTCACTCATGCTAAGGACATGTAGTGAAAGATTTTGATTCTTATTAATGTATTGCATTAATTGTGTTAACAATTCACTGTCCTGATTGCAGTCATCTTCTAAATACTGAAAGTTTATTTAGAAAAATATGGAGTTTAATAGAAGTACTATTTTTTACTTACATTTTCAATGCTGTTAACAAATAGTATATTGAGACTTAGAAGTAACAAATATAATAGCATGTTTTAATTTGGAAATAGGTATTCTGTATTAAAATTTGGACCTTATTATAATAATTTAATCTTGTATTCACAAGATCTAAGTAAGAAATGATTTTAATTTTGCTCAATTAAAAGTTATCAGTGAATTTAATGCTTCGTTTCAATTTAAGCGATAAGAATGTAAACAAATGATTTTTGCAAAATCTGAATTATTAAGTGCTTTAAATAAATTTGGAATAGGGGAACCCCTTTGGAAAATATTTTTTTTCTATTAAACTGATAAAAATACATATAAACAAATGATATTTTTATAAAACATATAAATAATTTCAATCCTATATACTGATTTGTGTAAAATAGGTACTCGTTATTCGAATATTCCGGACGTCCATATTATACTGGACGTTTTGAGCTACTTTTTTTCGAGCATTTCTGGCCCCATATCACAATGTTGGCCTGCAAGACGTCAACTGTTGGTTTACCGCATAAATTAGTGCCGTCATATGGTTGCAATGTGTCAAATCTCATGACTTAAGAGGCCAATTGACAGATCCATCGATAACTAATTTTCAATGAAAATTTGGAAGCGTTAAACATCTTACATTTTTTATGTAAAATGATATCTATTTTCAAAAAATATCTATTATACCCTTCACCTTTTTGAGAAGGCTATATATATTCCCGAACCTATAAAGTATGTATAAGTTTGTATATTCCGAGTCTTTATAGATAGCGGAGTCGATTAAGGTATGTCAGTCCGTTTGTCTGTCTATCTGTCTGCCTGTCCATGTAAACCTTGTAATCAAACTACTGGTCACAATTTTGAAATTAGAGAAGATAATTGAAATTTGGTACATACATTACTTTTGACCCAATAACGGTAGGGTTGATGTTGGTCCATTATTTCACCTAGTCCCCATATAACCGGACCCCCTGAATTGGGATTTGAAGCTCATAATTATACCAAATATACTAATATCCCTACAAAAATAGGCACAACTACGTTTTATATATAGGTTTTTCGTAATGAGCGGCCCTTTGCAAGGGGGCTAGGGTTACCCCCTTGCAAAGTCCCCCTCTGAAAATGCTTGAACGTCGTTAATACCCTTATAAACACGTGTTTTTCCAATGAAGTTCGGTATAATTAACTTTAATGTCAACAAAAATCCCTCCATCACATTTTTTTAGGATCGGTTCATAATTGACCCTAGCCCCCATATATGTATAAGCCTCCATCAGAAATTAATTTTTTCATCAGAAATATATCGAAGTTAAGGAAAATTCAACATAAATGCTTTATTATTAAAAATACTTAATACCTATTTTAGATATGCTCATAATTGGTATAGGTTATCATATGATCGGCCACGACCGACTATACTTTTTTGCTTGTTTTCTATAATATTGAACTTAGAAATATAAAATTAAGCATGTCGATTCCGGAGTAATTGAGATCATACAATAAAAGGGGACTTTTGATACGTTTTCATTCTTCAAAACTGTCTCTTCTTGGTCACTATTGGGTCTATTGAGAGTTCCTTTACCATAGCCACGGTAAGCATTAAATCCATCGGACCTTCGGACTGACCGATTAGAACACTATCCACTAACCTACAAGAGGCATTCAAGAACATTTTTTTTGTCTTTAATTGACTCGTACTATTAATTAATTAATTTATTTTAACACACCAATTCTTTTTTCTCTCTTTTCTACTTCCAGATAACAATCGTTGAATTTTTCAAATCGAATTCACATAAAATGCATACTTTTGGCAATTTATCAAGCAGCAATTATTACTTTTTACATTTGGAAATACCCGACTGGCTGGTGGAGTGTTATAAACGTATTGGTTTGTTAATATTTGGTTCAGGTGTTTGTGAATTAACTACAGATATTGCCAAATATTCGATTGGACGGTTGAGGCCACACTTTTTTGCGGTAAGTGCAAGTATAAATTAGAAAAAAAACACCAATAGTTGGGCAACAGTTGAAAAATTTAATCACTTTTTGGGAGGGTATACATTTTTTATATAAATATATGTTGATAGTTATAATACCAACTAAAAAATCTTTTTTGTACACATCGTTTAAAAGTTAAATTTGATCCATATTATCTCCCATTTCAGGTCTGTCAACCCATATTACCCGATGGCTCAACATGCGATAATCCTCTAAATGAAGGTCGTTATATTGAAGATTTCACTTGTCGTGGCTTGGGTTATTCTACGAAAATCATAAAAGAAGCCTATTTATCATTTCCCAGTGGTCATGCCAGTTTTACATCATTCACAATGATCTATATAGCGGTAAGTAACAAAGAGATAGACAGCTCCAAATAACAGGAAAAATAGATAAATGTCTTTGTGTGGCAAACTACTGTTAGTTGCAACTGCATCATAAATATAATAGATTTTTTTTAAAACATGTTACATTTTATATATATTTTTTTCTATATTTTATAGATTTATCTACATAAACGCATGACCTGTTCGCGCAGTAAAATGTTTAAGCATTTATTACAATTTATGTTTCTTATGTTCGCTTGGTATACATCATTGACACGTGTTTCCGATTATAAACATCATTGGACCGATGTTTTGGCGGGTTCATTGATTGGCACACTGTATGCCATAATAGTGGTAAGTATTAATGTGAATATGTAGCGAAAAATTTACACTGGGTAACATTTGATCAGTTTAGTCTATGAACTAATCTATTAAGTTTAAGGGAAAGTCTATTACTTATTATTTAACCAGTCTATGGGTTGGACTATTGACTTGTCTACGGGCTACTTTTTGAACCAGTCTGCTGACTAATATATTGAATAGTTTATTGTCAAATCTAACTAGATTATGAACTAGTCTACAGAATAGTCAACAGATTAGCCAAGAGACAGGTCAGCTGACCATTCTATAGGTTTGCCAATAGACTTGTAATAAGCTAGTCTATAGATTACTTAAAGGCCAGTTCATTCCCTAGACAATAGACTTCTCAATAGAGTAGACAATAGACTAGTCATTTGAAGCCGTAGTATATCAGTCAATATGCCCTTCAATAGACTAGTCCATTAGGTTCTCAATAAACAAGTGCATAGACTACTCATATGACTATTCTATAGGCCAATCAATATGTATTTAGACGTGTCAAAAGACTATTCAATAGACTGATAAAAAAAATTGTCAATAGAATATCCGATAGGCTCTCAATAGGGAAGTCATATAAACTGGCTTCAAAAGATTGATCAACAGACTAGTTAATAACATAGTTAACAGTTAACAGACCAGTCAATAGATTGGTGCATAGACAAGTTATGGACTATCTAGCCAACAACCTACTCAATAGGCTAGTCAATGCACTGGTCAATATAGAAATCAAATCAGCGGATTAGTAAAAACACCAGGTAATAGTCTAATCAACAGACTAATCAATAGACAAGCTTATAAACTTGTCAATAGAACTGCTGACTACTCTAGAGACTGGACTGATCCATATAAAAGCTAATCGATAGAATATTTCATTGACTGTTAGTTTGACTAGTCTATTATCAGCCCTATTTAATAATCTGTTGACTGTCTATTGACTATTCTATGGACTATTGTGTTAACTAGACTAGTTTATTGACTAGTCTGCTGACCGGTCTATTGACTAGTCTGGTGACTAGTATATTTTCCAATCTATTGACTTGTCTGTTGTCAAGTTTAAAAGTCTAGTCTATGGAATAGTGTATTAACTAGTCTATTGACTAGTCTGTTGACTAGTCTATTATTTAGAGTATTATCTAGTCTTTTGGCTACTGTAAAGGCTGTTCTATTGACTTATTTCTTAACTAGTATGTTGACTATTCTATTCTTATTCTATGGATTGGTATATTGACTAGTCTATTAACTAATCTATTGACTAGTCGATTAACTAGTCTATTGACTAGTCTATTAACTAGTCTATTGACTAGTCTATTAACTAGTCTGTTGACTAGTTAGTGGTAACATCCTCGCTTTTAGGATTTGACTCCTCAACGCTATCAGTAGTGGCTACTGATGCTGTGGTCTTAGGTTCTCTAGTGTCCTTTTCGGAGCTTGTTGTAACAGCCCTTCCAATCGGTTGTTACAACCAGCCACCAAGAATTTCAGTATTCGTTCATTAGCCCGTTTACTGCCCCATCATTTTATGTAGACAGTAGACTTTAAGAGCACCGGAAGCTCGCTCTTCTTTGCCAGTCCCAGCATAGCGCCGTCCTAGGGAGGATGGATACTTTCTACCAAGTTCTTTAGGGTGTTAACACATTGGTGAGATGCCAACCGCATCAACATTATGCCCATGCTGAACACGCAGCTCACGCTCTATATTGGTTGTTTGCCATTTGAAGCGATTGCTTGGTGCACTCTTATTGTTGACCAGGTATTCTATTAACTCTGTTGGTCTATAAAAATTTTGCCGGCATCGGTAACTGCATAGCAGAGATCGTCCCGATGTCTTCTTCTGGCAACTTTGGCGGCTCTTTTCCTATTTCACTGTCTAGCTTCTCCTTCGTTTTTCGGGTCTTCTTTTGAGATACCCTTGCCTTCGAGGTTGATTTTGCCGACGTGGTCTTCTTCAGAATATCTTGACACTTACTCGCAGGATTCTGACTTGAGGTTCCTTTGAATGAAGTATGGCTTGGCTTTGACTGTGTATTAGAAGACGGGGGAGCTCTTTTTCTTCTTAGGTTTAATCTCAGTTGTCAACTCTTCGGTAGACCTGATCCTCTTTGCCTCAGACCTTGTGAGAGAGTCCGATTTTTCTTTTGAAGTGTCTTGGAATTGACTAACTATGATTTCCTGAAGCCTATTTTTCAACTTCCTCCTCTGTGCTCCAGAAAGTCTTTTCTTAGTAATAGGTAGTTTAGCTATGCTATCACTCACCTCTTTCACCATTTGCACTACTTCATCCGTTTTGGGATTTGCTACAATGGTGTTGTTATTATCATCTGAGGATTCAGAGTCGAAGCCCTCGCCTATATTTAAAGGCTGAGTTAGCTTAGAACTCTCTCCGGGTACATTATTCTCTTTCACCCCTATGTTTTTGCCAATGGCATGCTGTGCACTTGACGTATTGTCCATCACGGAGGGGTACCTTGGCCTCCGTAGTAGTATTTTGCTAACGATTGCAGTATGATGACACGTGAATCGAGTGTAGATCAACACTTGCCGCCGGTACTGGGTTATTTAGGCCCTGCACCGTAACTTTTATCTTTTTACTTTTATTTTCCATGTTTGTATTTCCATTTTTTTGTTAGACGGGGAATATAATATTCCCAGGTGGTGGACAATCTGCCCTCACTCAGCTTAAGTGACTCTAAAGCTGGTAGAAGACAGATGATCCATCTCCACACCCTATCCATCACCCGGGGACGCGCTCGGTAGGAAAAAAGAGAAAACTCCCCCCGACTAGTCTAATTACTAGTCTATTGACTAATCTGCTGCCAGGTTTATTAACAGACTAGACTATGGAATATTGTATTAACTAGTTGATTGACTAGTTTATCGACTAGTCCATTGATTAGTTGAATAGTCTATTGACTATTATATTCTCTTTATTCTTTGTTCAGAAAATTTCCGAATTGATATTATTAAAACAATTTTTTTTTTTTATTTTTTCAGACATGTTCTATGTGGTAGAACGAAGATGATAACTTGAGTTGAAGGAGTGTATCCATGGTTGGGTTGGAGATTATTATTTTAAGGCTGCGTTTACACCTGCAAACATATAAATTTTTTTAAACTGAAAACTACTAAGCTGCCACCTATGTATGCTGAAAAAATCGTTTTTAAATTGCAGGTGTAAACGTTGTTATAATTTGGGATTTAATCCCCTATAAATTTAATTTCTTTTAAGTATAAATATTTACACATTTTTCTTTGGTTTAAATTGCTTTAATTTTGCTTTTAAAATTAATTTTATTTAAAATTCTTTTTAAAAAAGTTTAAAATATTACAGTAACATAAAAATATTACCATCATTATATGCTAACATCAACTAACTGAACACATTTTTTTCATTATAATAAAATAATTTGACACTATTTTTTATGTTGAACATAAATTGTCGGTTACGTGATGTCTATATTGTCATTATGGTAAATATTTAAAACTAAAAAAATTTTAATAATTTTACTTTATATTCGTGCATTTGTAATCTCATTAAGTTTGTTCATCTTTTAGTTGTAAGTTTTAATTTTAAACAAATTTTTTTCAAAGTATTTATTGTAATTTAAAATGTATTATTTTTTTTAAACACATCACACATCAACAGACAAGCAACAAAAACTTGTAATAAATTTTAAGCAACAAAAACAAAATATAAAAAAATATCAAAAAAAGTAATAAAAATAATAATTTGTATTTTAACAAATGTTTGTTTTACCGTTATGTTTACATAGATAAATCCAAGGTAAGTTTTTTTTTTAATTTATATTTAAATTTATCTTTTCTGCATTCACAAGTTACAAAAAAAACTTTTGAAAATTTAAACTGTTTGCATGCAGTTTTTCTCTCGTTTTTTGCGCCATAAAAATAGTTTGTTTTTCTTTTTGGAAATTTAAAAATTCATAGAAACATGAATTTTTATTCCACCATAAATGCCAATATTTTGATTTGGACAAAGTCTTTTTTTCAGACTTATTTTATACGTTTTGTACATGCTAAAAAATATTTTAGTATTTTTAATTACATCGGTTATTTTTAATTCGACATACAGTAGAACTTGGTTATTACGGTCTACAGAAATAATAAATATTTTATTAGAAGTTTTGTGTTCGAAATTTCGTTATTCTGGAAAGTACATGTAATTAAAATAAACTGGATTCTTTTTAAAGACAAAACAGTGGTTAGAATGTTCTAAAATTATATTCAATTCTAATGGTGTCTTATATCATTATTACGACTTTTTTAGCACTACGTCATATATAAACAAGTAAGAAGTTATAGTCGGGCGATGCCGACCATATAATACCCTACACCTGTTACAAAAATAAAATGTGATTTTGTTTTTATAATAAAGCATTGTAGTTGAATTGTACCTTGCCTAATATATCCTTAAGCCATTTATTGTTGAATAAAATTGTGGACATTTAAGTCAAATTTTGAAGGGGGCTTTGTATAGGTGCTATGATCAACTGAGACCCCATAATTATAAAATTCTTGAGAGTCATCAAGGCTAGTATAGGTTTAGCAGCTTTTTGTTGAGATACGACTCGTATCATACGAGTATATTAAACATAATTATGAATTTAAAAGTCCTATTTGTCGGGTTGGGGGCTAGGTGAAATAATGGACCGATGTTAACCATTTTCAATAGGCTTTGTCTCCGGTACCTAATTTCATTGAATTATCTTCAAAATTGCGACCTGTAGTTTGATTACAAGGTTTACAAGCCCTATTCAGAGTTTCAGTTGTATGGGGGCTAGGTGAAATAATGGACCGATGTTAACCATTTTCAATAGGCTTTATCCCCAGTACCATAGAAGATCATTTGCCAAATTTCATTGAATTATCATCAAAATTGCGACCTGTAGTTTGATTACAAGGTTTACAAGCCCTATTCCAGGGTTCAGTTGTATGGGGCTATGTGAAATAATGGACCGATGTTAACCATTTTCAATAGGCTTTATCCAGTACCATAGAAGATCATGTGCCAAATTTCATTGAATTATCTTAAAAATTGCGACCTGAAGTTCGATTACAAGGTTTACATGGACGGACAGACGGACATAGTTAAAGCGACTCAGAAAATGATTCTATGCCGATTGGTATACTTTAAGGTGGGTATAGGACCAATATTATTGTGCGTTACAAACATCAGCACAAACCCAATATACCCTCCCCACTAACAAGAAAGTATAGTCGGGGGGTGGCCGACCATATGATACCCTACATCAGTTAAGAATATTAAATGTGATTTATTTTTCATAATAAAGCATTTATCTTGAATATTACCTTGATTCCGATTTATTTAAGCAATTTATTGACGTAAAACAAATATTATGAAAGAGGCTTTATATAGGGGGGATAGGAGCAAATATGGACTGATCCCGACAAAATGTGCTGAATAGATTTATATAATATTTATCTGTGCTAAATTTCATTGCAATATTAGTGTTATTCAAGTCAATTTCTGAAGGGGACTTTGTATTGGGGCTAGGGTCTAATGAGGCACGATCATTTCGAAATTTGGCAAGGTCTTCTAGGCTTGCATAAATCTTAGTTGTGTCACCTTTTGTCGGGGGGTTCAATTGTATGGGTGCTAATGGTGAAATAATGGACCGATTTAACTCTTTCACGTATACGGGATACCGGTGTCCCAAGATTTTTTTAAATTTTTCTCGATTTAGAGCGTAATTTTGACATCAAATTATTATTTCCAAAGAAAAATATGTTATTTTTTACAATTTGATGTCACTACATGCTAAAAAGGATAACATCCTGCGATATCCTTCGAAAACACTTGTTCCATTTTTCATCAAAAGTGGTCGATATACGTCAAAATAAAGTGTGTGGTAAAGTCATATCCATAAAAAGTCCAGCGGTTTAGTTTTGTGCGTGAAAGGGTTAACCAGTTTAAATAGGCTTCGTCCTTGCCAAATTCCGTTAACACACGGACGAACGGACATCGTTAAATCAACTCAGAAAGTGGTACTGAATCAATCGGTACATTTTAAGGTGGGTGTAATACTAATATTTTAGTGCGTTACAAACACCAGCATAAACGCATAATACCACTATAGTAGTGAAGGGTATAATAACGAGGCTTCTTTAACAGCAGACCGGATTTTATCTCTATAGTCGAATTAGTCAAAGCCGGTTACATACAAGACACTCCATCATTGTATACCACACATATTGGTAGGTTATAAACATACATGTGTACACCAAACGTGTCCCATCGGGCATATTCGAAAACTGTGAAAGATTGGTCCCAGATAGGCGATCATAGTCAAGAGGATCATCAGATCTAAACCTTGTGATAATCTGTTGTTACACGGATGGTTCAAATCGTAAGGCAAAAAGGTGTCTGGGTATCTAACTCTTCCAATTCGCATTATTAGCTTGCAGGCAGAAGTCCGTGCTATAATGGATTATGTAGAATGGACTGAGAATTGCGACAACAGAGATTGCGTTCAACGGTATTGAATAATGCAATACCCCGCACACGCTTGTAAAGAGTACTCCTCAAGGGAATAGGACTGATCTTAAACTTATCCAAAGATATCGAAAAAACATAAATTATTTAACATTGAGATGTCCTAGGAGAAACCTATGTAATCCATTCTTGCACTACATCAGAGTAATCTCAAAACTACTCCCTTTTCATAAAATTAACATGATCCCTGCCTGCATTACAAAGGACTATTAAACGGATGATCACGTACCCCTATAACGTTTCAGGGGTGTAGTTTTGGGATTGCATAAATGAATCATACTTTTTGCAGGGTACCGTAACGTAAGGAGTAATGGTACAGAGAGTATGAGCACTTATATTCAATCTATAGGGTGAGCCCCCATACTCTCATACAAGATTATGAAGTCTCTTCAGAATGAATGAAGTCCGGGGTACATACACACATATGTTGGTACGTATTCATAGATTTACGGGCACAACTATACAAAATTGGATCAAGGGTTGGAGATCATGTGGAGAAGATAGTGGAACGCGGACATTTTTTCTTTTTCATTGCCAGACTTTCGTCGAAATTATATATAAATATCACACACCATAGAAACACTTTTCTATGGAACTATAATCGAATAAGTAAGTACGGTTTTACTTTAATCAAGTATGATCAGAAAAGTACGATAGAATTTTCAGTTTCTTGTAACGTCTTCTTTCCACTATTTATGAATATATTTAACTAGCTATACCCAGTGTGCTTTGCTACACAATATAAATACAAATTCCACTTTACGATTTTTGAGGATTCTGGCTCTAAAATTTTCCAGATGTATGATTATCTATATATACTTTTTTATACCCTACACCACTATGGTGATAGATAATTTGATGAAATTTGGACCAAACATGTTTTTTGGCACAGGGACGATCCATTATTTCACCTAGCCCCCATACAACCGTACCTCCCGATTTGGGCTTTTTATGCCATAATTACGTCAAATATGCTATTATCTCTCTAAAAATTGGCACAAGTATGTTTTATATAAGTATAAATGACACTGCAGATTTTCGTAATGATCGGTCCTTATTTGAACCTAGCCCCCATACAAACCCCCCTTCAAAAAATGTCTTAAACGTCTAAAATTGACTTGTAACCATTTGTATCGCAATGAAACTCAACATAACTAACTGTTATTTAAAAATATATCCTTTTCCCAAATTGAATGAGTATCGGCCCAAGTTTGACCTATGCTCCTATATAATTATATATTTATATTCAGAAAATTAGTTTTTTTTTTATCAATAAATTGCTTAAATACTTTGGAATTAAGATAAAATTCAACATAAAAGTTTCTTTATGAAAAATAAATTTTTTTAAAATATACTTGTGGTGTAGGGTATTATATGGTCGGCCATGCCTGACTATACTTCTCTACTTGTTTAATTTTATATGGGAGCTACATAGCCCCCCAATTTATTTCCTAAATGTAATCATGGATGCCAAAGTTGTTCCTGCAAAATTTGAGGATTTTAGCTCTAATTAGTGGTGTAGGGTATTATATGGTCGGCCATGCCCGACTATACTTCTCTACTTGTTTAATTTTATATGGGAGCTACATAGCCCCCCAATTTATTTCCTAAATGTAATCATGGATGCCAAAGTTGTTCCTGCAAAATTTGAGGATTTTAGCTCTAATTAGCTCTAATAGTAGTCTAATAGAATTAAATACAAAATTCTTATATCTGTCAAACTATTAGAGCTAAAATCCTCAAATTTTGAAGAACTTTAATATCCACGTGAAAATGTGGGCGGAAAATGGGTGGACTTTCTTTACCCTAATGAAAGTCCACCCATTTTCCGCCCACATTTTCACGTGGATATTAAAGTTCTTCATGCAAAATTTCAAGATTATTGCTCTAATAGTTTGTCCGATAAACGAATTTAAGTATTCAATTTATATGGGGTGTACACGCCTCCTATTGATATTCCGCCCATTTTTTGCCTTAAATACAGATATTGACCTTAAAGTGGTTCCGACAAATTTTGAGAACTCTAACTCTTATATTTTCTCAGATATTCTAATTTAAGATTTGAGGGCTTTAGCTGTTATAGTTTTTGAAATATGCGACTTTTGATACCTGTTTCGTGGGCGTGGCACCTCGTCCACTTAAAATTTTGAAATAAA